TGCCCCATTCACATTCTTTTCTCTTTCTATTTTTTTGTGCTGGGAATGGAACCCAGAGCCTCACATATTCTGGGAAAGTACTCCACTATGGAGCTACACTCCAGCCCTTTTTACTTTTTATTTTGAGACAGGGTCTGCCTAGTTCCTGAGGCGGGACTAATACTTGCAATCCTCCTGCTTTAGCCTCCCAAGTAGCAGGGATTGCAGGCCTGTGCCATGGTGCCTAGCAAGAGCCAAATCCATGTATCAGTTTAAGGGCGTCATTCTCTCCCTTTCTTAAAACTATCCATCATCCAGTTTGTTTACCTCTTTGTCAGCCTTTGTTATTTTCTGTATTTTTCGTTCGAGCTTTTTGATAGGTTTGTGCCGATGTTTCATTTGCATCTGAATTTGCATTTGCCTAATGACCAGTGTCCCCAACACATGACATATCTTCTGTGGTGAGACACCTCCTCCTGACTTTTGATCATTTTCTAATTGGATTAAACTGTGAATATTTTTGAGAGAGCTTCATATATTCTAGACACCCAACCTCTGTTACAGTTTGAAAATATTTTTCCATTCTATAGCTTGCCTTTTAAGTCTCTTAGTGGTATCTTTTCCTAGGTGAGTTTTGACTTGGGTTAAGCCCAATTAATAACCTTTCCTTTTGTGGGTTGCTGAGAGTCAAGTCTAAGAATTTTTTGCCTCTTCCTGGGTCCTGAAGGTTTCCTCACCTCCTTCTTTTAAAATTACATAGCTTTACAGTTTGCATTGAAGCCCACAACACATTCAATTCCTTGAGCTGTGTGGTCCATTTGCACCCAAGTTCATGGTCCAGAATGTTTGGTCACACAGGAGACCTATGTTGAGGCCCTAGGTGTCCTCAGCGCCAGCGTTTGTCCTCAGGCTGTGTCTTCTCCCCAGAATTGCTCCTAATCTCTTGGGAGCTCCAGCCCACGTGGGAAGCTTGCTCCAGGCCCTAGCAGTCTTTGCCTGTGGGCTGCTGCCCTCCCTGCTCCAGTCCTGTGACTCTGTACACACTCGTAGAGTCAGGTAGGCTGCTTCTCTCCTCTGTGTTCCTTATCTTTTCAGAGTTACTCACTATTTGCCTTTCTAGTTTATTTTCCTTTCCTTAAAAAACATAGAATAATCTTGACTATAGCTACAAATTGGAAGGGGTGTGGTTTGGGGTAAGAATGGTGTTGAGCCTGTGTGGGGGACAGCTGGCACTTGGGTCGTCTTGAATCTACCAAGGCTGGAGGCCTCTGCGGATTGAAATCTTGGGGGGTTCTTTCCATCTGGGTCTTGGTTTTCAGCCTGTGGGTTCTATGCATGCTTCCTTTTACATTTGTGAGGCTTATGCTAATTTTTTTATATTTGGGAGCTCAGTGCTTCCTCCCTGGGGGTCCTTGAGAGCACTGTAGTCCCTGGGGTCCCCCGGGCTTGGCTCTGTAAACACGCTGACACCAGCCTCCTCAGGTCCCCAGGCGCCTCATTTCCCACAGCTACAGGAGATGAAAGCCACCTTTCCTGCCCCTAGGTGAGCCAGTGCCATGGTGTCCCTGGCTGTGCCTGGGACTCAGCCTGCTTCCCCACCCCAGGCTACTTCCTCATGGAGGCCCCTTTTCCCCCATGCAGGGACCTGCCACTGTGAGACAAAGGCATTTTGATCTGAAATGTGGGTTCAGGCCACACCACCCACTGAGCTAAGGTGAGACTCCTACCTCAGGAAGTGATTTCTCCTCCTCCTTCTGCTGCTGAGAGCTCGACCAACTCTTCTTCAGGTCAGATGTCATTTTTCTGTTTGATTTTCTATCAGAGTTGTCACTGAAGTTGCCTTTGGAAGACCCAGAAACTAAAGGGGCCAGAATTGGCTGCTCATTCCTGGAGAAGTCTTCCCCTGATCTCTGGAATTGAGAGAAGAAGGGCTTCAGAACCTCAGGTCCTCAACCTTCCCGGAATAAGAAGGGTGAGGACTTTGAATTTTGTGTGTGTGTGTGTGTGGAAATGAGGCTCAGGTCTGATCCTCTACTGAATTCATCTTTGTGGTGGCTTCTATTAGGGCTTATATTGGTTAGTGTGCATCAGAGTAAGGAGCTTCCCAATACCAACTTCTAATTTGGAACTCCATTTTTGGGAAAGATACTGCATATGATTCAAAAAAGATAGAACACACTGATTTCTACAATGAATCGTAGGCATATAAAGATGATTCTGTTCTACTTGTTTGCCTAGTCCCTGCTGGGCCAACCCAGGGTGCCCCTGGAGACTAGAGGCACACATAAAACCACACTCTTGTGTAGGTGAGGAGCCAGGTTGAACAGAAAGCTCTGTTCTTCTGTATCAGCATAGAGAGAGCTTCTCTGCGATTGTGAAAAGAATCACAGGCTTTCCTCTAGAGACTGCTGAGACTAAGGGAGCTCTCTGTAGGCATGTAAGTGCAAGTTGGTGAGGGAAAGGTGACAAATGACAGCAGCCACAGCCCTACAGCACGAAAAGGATGGGAAAGGAGGAAGTGCAGAGCAGGAGACCTGAGCCCTGGGCTTGGCTGCCATAGGACCTGAGAGAGTGCAGAGAGGGGACCTGGGCCCTGGGCTTGGATGGTACAGGACAGGAGGGAGTTCAGATCAGGGGACTTGGGCCCTGAGCTTGGCTGGCACAGGACAGGAGGGAGTGCAGAGTAGGGGACCTGAGCCCTAGGTTTGGCTGCTATAGGAAGGAGGGAGTGCAGAGCAGGGGACCTGAGCCCTGGGCTTGGCTATCATAGGACAGGAGGGAGTGCACAGCAGGGGACTTGAGACCTGAGCTTGGCTACTATAGGACAGGAGGGAGTACAGAGAGGGGACCTGAGCCCTGGGCTTGGCTGGCACAGGACAGGTTAGAGTGCAGAGCAGGGGACCTGAGCCCTGGGCTTGGCTGTCACAGGACAGGAGGGAGTGCAGAGAGGGGACCTGAGCCCTGGGTTTGGCTGCTATAGGAAGGAGAGGAGTGCAGAGAAACGGACCTGAGCCCTGAGCTTGGCTGGCACAGGACAGGAGGGAGTGCAGAGCGGGGACCTGGGCCCTGAGCTTGGCTGGCACAGGATAAGAGGGAGTGCAGAGCAGGGGACCTGAGCCCTGGGCTTGGCTGCTATTGGAAGGAGGGAGTGAGAGCAGGGGACCTGAGACCTGGGCTTGGCTGGCACAGGACAAGAGGGAGTGCACAGAAGGGGACCTGAGCCCTGGGCTTGGCTGCTATTGGAAGGAGGGAGTGCATAGAGACAGGAGTGGCCAGAGAGAGTCTCACCTTAGCTCAGTGGGTGGTGTGGCCTGGACCCACATTTCAGATCAATGCCTTTGTCTCACAGTGGCAGGTCCCTGCATGGGGAAAAAGGGGTCTAAAATTCCTAAATAAGAATGTGCAGTATATCTGAAATATAAATAGTTCCCCTACTCTTTGTTGTTAATTTCTATCCATTAAAGCCTAGAAAGCCCTGGTCTGTCTTCCATGAGTTGGTGTGGTTGGAGCATAACCTTAGGTCAGAGAATCGAGTCCCATTCACCAACCCAATTTCAGAACATTAGGCTGAAGTTTCCATAATGAGTTCACATTTATTATTTCATGCCAATGAAACTACTAAAGGAATTTGACATTTTCATAGCTCCTTTGCAATTTCATGACTGTCAACTAAACACCTGGGCAGGATGCGAGTCAGAGGACTATGCGTGGTGGCCACCTCACACTGATATAATAAAGCATGGAGAAAAAATGTTTTTAAAAGACCTGAGGTAACCTTGCAATTTTGGCTCAGGAGTGGCAGTCTAAGTGACAGCCATTGCTAAACAATTTGTGTAGTTTGTCATCGCCAGTCCTTGGGTCTCTCCATGGGGTGAAATTTAGCAATGGGTCTGTGGATACCGAAGCTCAGCTGCTCTTCACATTCGACACTTGCAAAGTATGCCTGTGAAAGTCTCCCGGTTCTTTAGCACTTGTCTGGCCACTTCTGAGGGTTCCCTGCCCCTTTCCTACCCCTTTGTGTGGCTTGGCTGGGGATCTGGTGTCTGAACTGTTGGATTCAAACTTAGGGATCCCCACCACAGCTTCAGCCAGGCAGAGTTTGCAGACTCCACCATGAGGGCCGACAGGTGGGGCAGCAGGCACAGGCACACAGGGGTCCTTCAAAATGCTTCTGTACTCCCATGTCCACTGTCCTGTGTTGCCTGGTGTCACTTGCTACTACTGTCTCAGGGGAGGCCTTCCTCAGTAGCTATTGGCACTATCAGGCAGGGTCCCCTTCACAGCCCTTGTCTTAGACAACTGTAGCCCTGGAGGCTGTAGGTGGCCAAGGTATAAGCCCACTGTCACCAGGCATGTAGACATGGGAGGTATGGATAGGGACCTAAAAGCCCTGTCCTCTTTCCATCTTGCATGAGGAAAGCCAACACACAGGATACCAAGCTGGGTTGTAGGTCATGTATTGCAGAGGCAGAATCACACCTGTCACCTCAAGAATTATTGGGTCCTGTTTTGATACAATGGCCTGCCATTCAAGGTGGCCTCGTGTGTGCATTCGCGAAGTCCCTGAGTATCGCCCCTGAGTTTGGCCTCTGTACCTGGGCACATCCTGCTGGCTCTTGTGGGAGCATCCTCCTCAGTGGGCCACAGGTCACATTCCTTCTGTGAACACAGCCAGAGCCTGGCTCTCAGGTCATGGCCTCCGTTAACACAGGCGCTGCTGCAGGGCTCTCCCCACCCGTTGGGAGCCACTGGCCAACACCCAGCCCTCGACAACTCTTCTGGCTGAGCTTCTGACCCGCCTTGGTCATCACATGCCTGTATCGTTCCCCAAGGCGGCAGGCTCCGGGACAGATCCATGCCCCGCCTGGGAGTCGGGCACACTGCCCTGCACATAATGGGCATCCGTAGGTGTACACTCAGAGTTGAACTCTCTTGAGTGCACAGCCGTGTGCAGCGGGCAGGGGGCCATGCTGCGTTCTCTTACCAGTGCCCTTGCTGTTTCTGCACACAGTGGGGTGGCCATGGGGAGCGGCAACGACAGCTCCCTCCAGGCGTTCATCCTGGTGGGCTTCTCTGACCGGCCTCGACTGGAGAGGGTCCTGTTTGCCTCTGTCTTGGTCTTCTATGTCCTGGCACTGGTGGGCAACACTGCTATTGTCCTCTTGTCCCTCGCGGATGCCAGGCTCCACACGCCCATGTACTTCCTCCTTGGGAACCTGTCCTTCCTGGACCTCTGCTTCACCACCAGCATTGTGCCCCAGCTGCTGTGGAACCTCTGGGGCCCAGACAAGACCATCAGCTACCACGGCTGCGTGGCCCAGCTCTACATCTACATGGTGCTGGGCTCCACCGAGTGCGTCCTCCTGGCCGTCATGTCCTACGACCGCCACGTGGCCGTCTGCCGGCCCCTGCACTACATGGTGCTCATGCACCCCCACCTCTGCCTGCAGCTGGTCGCTGTGGCCTGGGGCTGCGGCTTTCTGAATGCCTTCGTCATGTGTCCTCAGACCATGCGGCTCTCACGCTGTGGGCGCCGCAGGGTGGACCACTTTCTCTGTGAGATGCCGGCTCTCATCGCCATGTCCTGTGAGGACACCATGCTGGTGGAAGCCTGTGCCTTTGCCCTGGGGGTGGCGCTTCTGCTGGTGCCCCTGTCCCTGATCCTTGTCTCGTACGGCACGATCACAGCTGCAGTGCTGAGGATCAGGTCGACCGCGGGGCGCAGGAAGGCCTTCAGCACTTGCTCCTCCCACCTGCTGGTGGTCTCTCTATTCTATGGGACCATCATCTACATGTACCTGCAGCCGGCCAACAGCTACTCACAGGACCAGGGCAAGTTCCTCACACTCTTCTACACGGTGGTCACACCCAGCGCCAACCCCCTCATCTATACCCTGAGGAACAAGGATGTGAAGGGGGCAGTGGCCAGGCTCCTGGGCTGGGAGAAGGGGTCTGGGGAAGCTTAAGTGAGCAGCATTTGCATCTGGCTGCTGAGTGCAGTGCCCCCGTCCACATCCTCAGGCCAGTGGTGTTCTGTGGAGGCGGGCTGGGGCGGATCTGGGAATCTTCACATATACATCATGAGATATCTCAAATTCACACTTGAGTCTCAAGTACAAACGTGACATCCATCTGTGTTTCCTGTGTGCACATACACATAGCCTCAAAGTCTCTGTGTAGGCATTCAGATCACCTGTGTCGCCACAGGCTTGCAGGTCCCGGGTGGGGTTTCCATGGTGGGGTGCTGATGGTGCTGAGGAGGTTTTGGGTTTTGGAGCATTGGGACACGGGGAGCTCAGATTGGGGTGCCTGATCCATGCGGAGGACTTGCTGGAGCTGTTCCTAGTCACCTGAGCCACCAAGTGAGGCCGACAACACAGCGGCTCAGGGTTCCAGTGTGGCTCACCCTGCCGGGTCTGGGTAGGACCAGCTGTCAGCTCTAGGAGCTCTGCTCCACAATGGCAGGGGACTTGTCATCTACCCTGTCCCACAAGCACCAGGCAGTTTGCAACTACATCCTAGGTGTCAAAGAGACAGTGAGCAGCCTTTCTCAGCACCCCTGTGCCCACGACTGTGGTGGCATTTCCAATGGGCATCTGGGCATGCTGGGAGGACAGCCTCTGCCCAGGCTGTCCTCATGAGCCGGGAGTGGCCTTTTAGGTGCATCTTCTGGAAGGGAGGACTGGGGGTCGTGGCCCCTCTCCTTGGCTGTTCTCACAGCAGAGTGCTCCCAGGAGGGCTGAGCAGGAGCCGGGCAGATGGTCTTCATTCGAGGGGACCGATGATCCTGGTCTCCTGGGGAGGTTCCTGGCCAACCTCACCAGACATGGTGCTGTTGGCGATCTTACAAGGTCAGTGCAGCCGGACGTCACTAAGAGCAGTGCCGCAGCAGCAGGTGCCTCAGAGCCCGAGGATGTGACTTCCCGGCTCCACAGCCCCAGAGTGCAAGACCACGGCTGGGCAGGCATCTGTAAAGGCTCCCCTCAGTCTCTGGTGACAGACAGACCTGGGAGTTGTCGTGTTGGGGATAGTCAAAGTCGGCTCCTCTCTTTCCCCAAGCCTTCTTCCCATGTCCTGAACCATGAGCACCCTCGGGGGGTGGGAGTGACCAGAGAGCCTCAGCCCACCCTGTTCCTCGCTCAGCAGCGTCCCTCCGGTGACTGTTCCAGGTGAACGGATGGTCCCTTTCATAGACTAGCCTTATTCTAAGTCCTGGCTTTAGTTTAACCCTGGAGGGGTATAAAACCCAGGAGCAGAGAGCGTGTCAGAAGATGGGTTCACACTGAGAGCCACCTGACCCCCAGCCAGGTTCAGTGGCTTTAACCTATAATGACTCCGCTGGGCTCCCTGGCTGGAAACCACTGATCCCACCCTTCCGAAGAATGATCCGTGGATGAATCGCTTGGAGAAGGGGCCTGGAGAGCGTCTGTGGGGACACTTACTCTGGGAAGATGCTGTGCCAGTGCCCAGGGGCAACTCCGTGCCTCTGGGTGAGATGGAGCTGAGGGGCTGGGAATCTCAGCGGCATGGCTGCCAGTCAGTGAACAGCAGCACTTGGGACCCCTCCTCTTAAGTCAGTGGAGCTGAGAGCGTGGCCGCAGGTGTGCCCTTCCAGATGGCCTGGTGTGGGATTCCATTTGTCCTTGGCTTAGAGTAGATACCAGCAAGGGAAGGAAACCCTTATCTCAGGCTCAGGGCAGATTCTGCTGCAGAGCTTACTGAGACCCTCTCTGAAGCTGTGGGTGACGGAATTGTCTAGACTGTCTCCTGGCCGCACAGGGAGGAGGCTCCGTGCTTGCTGGCATTCCTTGTCATGCAGGGACAAATGCAGCTGGTGTCACAGAGTGGCGTTGTGAAGGACCAACAGCCACACTGCTGTGCTCAGTGGGTGGACTCCTCATCTGGCTCCTTCTTGGATCTGTTTGATTTTGGTTGGTTTGGCTTAAGGGACCCTGCCTAAGGAGCATCTCAGAAGCACCACCGTGAGTGTATTCTTTGTGGAAGTTTGTGTGGGAGGGAGTTGTCACTTACACGCTACTCTCTGTTCCTTTGGATACACGCCCAGGAGCGGAACTGCTGGATCACAGGAGCTGCCGTTCTCTGCTGTGTCTGTGCTCACAGCGCCCAAGGGTTCCCTTTTCTTTGTACCCTGCTGACATTTATTACTTTTTGGTCATTGTTATAATGACCATTCTAACAAGCATGAGGTGACATCTCACATGGTCTTAACTTGCGTTGCCCTGATTGTCAGTGGTTCTGAAGGTTTTGTATACATGTTGGGCATTTGAATGCTCCTTGTTAGAAATATCTATTTTGAGAAATACCTATTTAGAGCCTCCTCTCATTTTGAATCAAATTACTTGTTTTCTTCCTGTTGAGCTTTTTGGGTTCCGTGTGTGTCTGGGATTCTGATCCCTGTCAGGTGTGGCTTGCAGGTGCGCTCTCTCATTCTGTCCTCCTCTGCTGTTGATTGGGTCCTTTGCTGTGCAGAAGCTCATCAGTCTGATGGAATTCTGTTCATTTCCACATTTGTTGCCTGTGATTTTGGGGTTCTATCCAAAAAGTTATTGTCATGGAGCTTTTAATCTATGTTTTCTGCCAGCTATTCTCCACTTTCGGGTCTCACATTTAAGATCTCTAATCTGTTTCCTAAATTATGAAATTAAGAAAACATCTGACACACCTCTGCAGCTGGGCGTGAGAAACCAAGGTACGGATGATGTAGGAGGCCACGGTCCATTTGTATTGGTGGGGGCATTGTGTCCAGATTTGGCCAGGCAGAGTGGGCTAGGCTTCCCTGAGCTCAGGGCCAGGTGTAGAGTGGGCTAAGGTTCCCTGGGCTCAAGGCCAGGTGCACAGTGGGCTAGAGTTCTCTGAGGCTCAGAGCCAGGTGTAGAGTGGGCTAGGGTTCCCTGAGCTCAGGGCCAGGTACAGAATGGGCTAGGCTTCCCTGGGCTCAGGGCCAGGTGTAGAGTGGGCTAGGGCTCCCTGGGGCTCGGGGCCAGGAGCAGAGTGGGCTAGGGTTCCCCAGGACTCAGGGTCAGGTGCAGAGTGGGCTAGGGTTCCCTGGGCTCAGGACCAGGTGCAGAGTGGGCTAGGGTTCCCTGGGCTCAGGGCCAGGTGTAGAGTGGGCTAGGGTTCCCAGGGCTCAGGGCCAGGTGTAGAGTGGGCTAGGGTTCCCTGTGGCTTAGGGCCAGGTACAGAGTGGGCTAGGGTTCCCTAAATTCAGTGCCAGGTGCACTGTGGGCTAGGGTTCCCTGGGGCTCAGGGCCAGGTGCACAATGGGGTAAGGTTCCCTAGGTTCTGGGCAAAGTGCAGAATGGGCAAGGGTTGCTTGGGTTCAGGGCCAGGTGTAGAGTGGGCTATGGTTCCCTGGGGCTCAGGGCCAGGTACAGAGTGGGCTAGGGTTCCCGTGGCTCAGGGCCAGGTGCAGAGTGGGCTAGGGTTCCCTGCAGCTCAGAGGCAGGTGTAGAGTGGGCTAGGGCTCCCTGGGGCTCAGGACCAGGTGTAGAGTGGGCTAGGGTTCCCTGGGGCTCAGGTCCAGGTGCAGAGAGGGCTAAGGTTCCCTGGGCTCAGGGCCAGGTGTAGAGTGGGCTAGGGTTCCCTGGGGCTCAGGGCCAGGTGCAGAGTGGGCTAGGCTTCCCTGGGGCTCAGAGGCAGGTGTAGAGTGGCTAGGGTTCCCTGGGATCAGGGCCAGGTATAGAGTGGGCTAGGGTTCCCTGGGCTCAGGGCCAGGTGTAGAGTGGGCTAGGGTTCCCTGGGGTTCAGGGCCAGGTACAGAGTAGGCTAGGGTTCCCTGGGTTCTGGGCTAGGTGCAGAGTTGGCTAGGGTTCCTGGGGCTCATGGTCAGGTGCAAAGTGGTGTAGATTTCCCTGGGCTCAGGGCCAGGTGCAAATTGGGCTGGGACTCCCTGGGTTTAGGGCCAGGTACAGAGTGGGCTAGGGTTCCCTAAATTCAGTGCCAGGTGCAGTGTGGGCTAGGGTTCCCTGGGGCTCAGGGCCAGGTACAGAGTAGGATAAGGTTCCCTGGGTTCTAGGCCAGGTACAGAGGGTTGTAGGGTTCCCTGGGGCTCAGGGCCAGGTGCAGAGTGGGCTAGGGTTCCCTGTGACTCAGGGCCATGTGTAGAGTGAGTGAGGGTTCCCTGGAGCTCAGTGCCAGGTGTAGAGTGGGCTAGGGTTCCTTGGGTTCAAGTACAGATGTAGAGTGGGGTAGGGTTCCCTGTGGCTCAGGGCCAGGTGCAGAGTGGGCTAGGGTTCCCTGGGGTTCAAGTCCAGGTGCAGAGTGGGCTAGGGTTCCCTGGGGCTCAGGGCCAGGTTCAGAGTGGGCTAGGCTTCCCTGGGGCTCAGGGCAAGGGGCAGAATGGGCTAGGGTGCCCTGGGGCTCGAGTCCCAGTGCAGAGTGGGGTAGGGTATCCTGCATTCCAGGACCCAGGTGCAGAGTAGGGTATGGTTCCCTAGGTTCAGGTCCAGGTGCAGAGTGGGCTAGTGTTCCCTGGGTTCAGGTCCAGGTACAGAGTGGGCTAGGGTTCATTGGGGCTCAGGGTCAGGTGCAAATTAGGTTAGGGCTCCCTGGGTTCAGGGCCAAGTGTAGAGTGGGCTAGGGTTCCCTAGGTTCAGGTCCAGGGCAGAGTGGGCTAGGGTTTCCTGGGGCTCAAGGCCAGGTGTAGAGTGGACTAGGGTTCCCTAGGCTCAGGGCCAGGTGTAGAGTGGGCTAGGCTTCCCTGGGACTCAGGACCAGGTGTAGAGTGAGCTAGGGTTCCCTGGGCTCAGGGCCAGGTACAGAGTGGGCTAGGGTTTCCTGTGGCTCAGGTCAAGGTGCAGAGTGGGCTAGAATTCCCTGGGGCTCAGGTCCAGGTGTAGATTGGGCTAGGGTTCCCTGGGCTCAAGGCCAGGTGCAGAGTAGGGTAAGGTTTCCTGGGGCTCAGGGCCAGGTGCAGAGTGGGCTAGGGTTCCTTGGGGCTCAGGGC